GGCATAAGGAAGAATTTCTTTACTGTCCGAGCCCCCAAGGTCTGGAACAGCCTGGCACCGGAGGTGGTTCAAGCGCCTTCATTGAACACCTTCAGGATGAAACTGGATGCTTATCTTGCTGGGATCCTATGACCCCAGCTGACTTCCTGCCCTTTGGGCGGGGGGCTGGACTCGATGATCTTCCGAGGTCCCTTCCAGCCCTGATGTCTATGAAATCCCAGCCACGGCTTTGTTGGCTGAGTCTTAAAAACCTCCAAGGATGGAGATTATGCAACCTCTCTGGGTAGCCTGTTCCAGTGTTTTACTACCCTCCATGTGAGAGAATTCTTCCTAATATCCAACCTAAACTTCCCTTGCTGCAACTTGAGCCCATTGCTCCTTGTTCAGTCATCTGCCATCACTGAGGACAGTCGAGCTCCATCCTCTTCCAAACTCCTCTTCAGGGAGTTGAAGGCTGCTATTAAATCCCCCTCAGTCTTCTCTTCTCCAGACTAAATAAGCCCATTTCCCTCAGCCTCTCCGTATAAATCATGTCCCCCAGCCCCCAAACCATTTTGTTGCCTTCTGCTGGACTCTTTCCAATTTGTCCATCCTTTCTGTAATGGGGGGCCCAAAACTGAACATAGTACTGCAGATGTGGCCTCACCAATGCTAAATAGAGAGAAATAATCACTTCCCGTGGTGTACTGGCAACACATCTACCAATGCAGCCCAGTATTGCCGTTAGCCTTCTTGGCAACCAGGGCACACTGCTGCCTCATATTCAGCTTACTGCCCACTGTAACCCCCAGGGCCTTTTCTGCACACCAGCTGCCCAGCCAGTCATCCCCAGCCTGTACCGGTGCATGGGATTGCTCCATCCTAAGTGCAGGGCTTTGCACTCGTCCTTGTTGAACCTCATGAGATTCCTTTTGGCCCAATCCTCTAATTTGTTGAGGTCACTGAATCCTAGCCCTACCCTCCAGTGTATTTACTACTCCTCCCAGCGTGGTGTCATCTGCAGACCTGCTGAGGGTGCACTCTATGCCATCTTCCAGGTCATTGATGAAGACATTGAACAAAACTGGCCCCAGGACCAATCCCCGGGGCACTCCACTTGATATCACCTGCCAACTAGACATCGAGCCATTGATTACTACTCTCTGAGCCCGATGCTCCAGCCATTTTTTCTACCCACTTTACAGTCCATTCATCCAGCCCAGACTTCCTTAACTTGCCTGCAAGAATGTTGTAAGAGCCCATATCAAAAACCATGCTAAAATCAAGGTACCACATCCATCAGTCTCCCCACATCCACAGAGCTAGTCACCTCATCATAGAAGGCAATCAGCTTGGTCAGGCATGACCTGCTTCTGGTGAATCCATGCTGACTGTTCCTAATCACCTTCTTCTCCTCCAAGTGATTTGAAGTGGATTCCTTGAGGATCTTCTCCAAGATTTTTCCAGGGACTGCAGTGAGGCTGACTGGTCTGTAGTTCCCTAGATCCTTCTTTTTTCCCTTTCTTAAATATGAGCACTATGTTTGCCTTTTTCCAATCATCCAGGACCTCTCCTGATCACCAAGAGTTTTCAAAGATGATGGCCAGTGGCTCTGCAATCACATCAGCCAACTCCCTCAGCACCTTCGGGTGCATCCCATCCAGCCCCACAGATTTGTACTCTGGGAGCTGACTGTGCCTATGAAGACTGAGCTAAAAAGGGCATTGAGCACTTCAGCCTTTTCTGCATCCTCTGTCACAAGGCTGCCTCCCCCATTCAGTAGGGGGACACACTTTCCCAGATCCTCCTCTTGCTACCAGCATACTTAAAGAAACCCTTCTTGCTCCCCTTCACATCCCTTGCTCGCTGCAACTCCAATTGCGCTTTGGCCTTCCTGACTTTATCCTGGCATGACCGAGCAATGCTCTTATATTCCTCCCTAAGTTTTTAAAGAGGAATAGTGATATTTTTAAGGTGCTCCAGCTGACCTTGTCTCAAGTAACCCTTTCAACTACCTGGTGTCTTGACCCTTTGATTTCTGTGCTAAGTCAAAGTATCAGCAATTTCTTTTATATGGCTTTTTCTATTAAAAGAAATCCTAGAAGTTTTCTTCAGTAGCATTGTGTGGTGAGTTCTTAGTAGGATGCTGTTGGCATATAGATTAGCGATGTGTACAAAAGCAATGTTACCCTCAGGCCTAAAATGTTTTATTTATGAAAGCAGTACCAAGTGCATCTTTGCAAGCAACCTAGAGTCTGTCACACTCCCTGCATTCCTTATCTGAGGGAGGGAGGGGGAAATTCTTCCTTTTCCCCCCACATAGGCAGTGCGCTAGCTGTAAATTTCCATCCGAGTTCTAGAGGGTCAGCTCTGTTTAGTAATTAAGGTGGTTGTAAAATATATATTAATAAACTAGCACATGGGCTCTTTGAAAGGGAAAAAAGGGGGAATCTAATTCTGGCTGGCGGCTGCACTTCCCAGGGTGGAAGTTTGTCAAAAGACTGGTTCTCTGTATTAACAACAATGCTGGATTATTAGTCCTGGCAATTTTGAGCAACCGGCTTTTGGGAGCTATACCTTTTCTACTCAAAATGGAATGTGTTGGGGAAACGATGCATGCAAATTCTGTTAGTCACTTTTGGTCTGTTCTTACAGGTATTAGGAGTTTGGGGGCAGAAACAGTGTCCTCCAGACTTGGGCCAAAGGAAAATAAAGATCTGTTTTCTTGTTGATACCTAGTCACGTTAAAATACTGACGATCAGTTATTTGAGAGCCTTACTCTACATTTCTGCATTCATATTGTTCAGCTAAGAACAAACATGTTGTTATCTTTTCAGTATCAGCTATGGTAGGCATTTGGGTTATAACATGCCTTTCTAGAAGGATAGGACTTGATGGTCCAATACAGTGGTGCTCAACCTGTTGGCTCCATGAACCAAACAAGTAGTATGGGGCTTATCTGTTGACTGGATCCTGTGTGCAGCTGCTGCCCAGATTGGGCTCTGTGTAAGCAGTTCTGGATCTTACCAATGGCGCCCAGGTTGCACCCTGCATTACCCCACTCCACGTGCCTGATCTCGTGCACAGGGGCATGCTGTCTCCACCTGGCTCTGCAAGTTTGGCAGCTGGGGAGCGGCAATTATCCCTAACACTACTCCCCTGCCACCCAATTTTTGGACCCATGGGCAGCTCCGCATGCCAGATGACGCAACTTCACATGCCAGGGCTTGAGCACCCCTGGTTTAATAGGTCTTTTTTTACCATGAACTGTTAGTATGATCTTTTGTATCAAAAACTCTTTACGTGCTGCTTGCGCCCTTTTGTTATGAAAAGGAAGAGAATGGGCTGCTGGTCTATATATATTCAAATGTTCATAAACATTTTAAAATGGGTAACTGCAGTAATCTGGAGCTGCTATAATCTCCAGTTTAACCGTTGAGTTAGGAATAAAGATCTAAAAACTAAAAATAAGGTTTTTTTTTAATTTCAGGATTATGATCCTCCCAGTGAAGGACAAGTCATAAGAAGACCCCATAAAGGATATCACAGAGATCCTGTTCTTTCTCTCTTGGCTAGGCTAAATCAGGCACCAGTTACTGCACAAGAAGTGATATACCACTCTGAGGTACCTTAGTTTCCTTAAGTTGTTGTATAGGAAAAAAAGGAAAAAAACCTTAAGTTTCAAATGTTGTTCTGTGATTTAAAAAAAAATAGGTAAAGTAGCTAAAGTTTAGTTTACATATGGAAAAACTTCAAGCTTTATCCAGTCTGTTGCTACTGAAAGCCAATTCTTTGAGGGGGAATTTGACTTTTGGTAATTCTATTCCAGACTTTGAAATGCTTACAGTAGATAGAAATTTAAAATCTGAGACCTTGTTCCTGTATATAATAAAGACAAGTACCTAGCCCTCCACTGTTTGAACGTAAAGCATGTTCCCACTGCAGCTGGTCAAACTCTGTTCTGATATTCTGACAGTTTGAGGGGACCTGGGGAATAATTGGTGGCAGAGATTTCGTACGCTTTTCTTAACTTGCATTTCCTTTCTTTCTGAACTGAGGCCCAGCGGCAATTTCTATTCTGACTAATGAGTAGCAGAAAGAGCAAAATGATCTGTCTGTATTGAATGTTGAGTTAATATGCCCATTAAACATTATAATTCTAAAAATCTGCAAAAAGTTGTTAATTTAGAGTAAATGAATGAACTGCTTGCCAATACTAAGTGCAGGGGGAGGGTATGAGAGAGAGGGAGGACTTTGCTACATAAATTATGCAACATCTCTATTTAGGTTAGTTTTCTGCTATTTGTGACTTTAGTGGAACATATCCCATTTGTTCCGTCTGTCTTGTTTAGGCTGAACTGTCCATAGAACAACTTTACCCCTCTCCTTAATCATTCCTCAATCTTTATTTTGTTTGCTTAATGAGCTCTGATGGATGAACTGTGTAAAGAACTTTCCAGTGTCAACTGTGACTCTATCTGTAATTAAAGTGACACTTTCTTGTCAGTATTGCCAGTTACAAATGCATCTCTAATTTGCTTTTGTCTGTCCTCTGGTCACGGTGCTCAGCCTGTTCAAAGCTCTAACAAATCCCTTCACAGACTGTGGCAGTGCTAGCATAAGCATGCCTTCTCATGTAGGAAACCTCATCTAGGAACAAAATATGCATCATGCTGCTTCAGAACACCCTCGTACACACAACCAAATACTACCAGTTTGCTTCCTATTGTGCAAGGGCATGTTAACTGTTTTTAACATTCAGCTTGGTTGGAAGACTACTTGGAGGACGTCTCTGTTCACGCCATGCTAGAATCTGGCTGAAGATGAGCCTTTTATTCTGGTCTGTTGGACAGCACGTCTTTGGTATCTTTTAAGTGCTCCCAAGGAATGGGAATCGCAGGAAGTCACAAACAAATTCCTTTTGACAAATCCCACTCGCCAACCTGCTGGCTTTGAACTATTGTGGCGAGAGTGGTCCCTGCTAAACAGGTTCAGGGCAGGCCAATGTCCCTGTGCAGCCAACCTTCACTGCTGGGACCTCAGTACTAACCCATAGTGCACTTGTGGAGGGATGCAAACAATGCCACACATCACCGGGGAGTGTCCCCTCTACAAACTAAGAGGTGGATTAATAACTTTCAACTCAGTTAATGAGGGGGCTGTTGCTTGGCTTTGTGGATTTGCAGGCGCTAAATAAGTAAATAGTGCTCCCAGAGTTATGGGGTTCAGACAGACGGCGGTTGTTTCATGGAGATGTATGTAATAGTAGCTGTGTAAAGCTTAGAGAAGGGACTGATCTTTCCATTAGTCCTACCTAACGCCTTTCAGTTCTGTACAATGGTAAATGCAGATCTCATTCTCCCAAGGGATCACATGTTTGCTTTTCAAAAGCAGCCTTTATTCAGCACAAGCAGTATAAATCCATTCTGCAGCACAGTATACCTGAACAATGTAGCATGGTATGAAAGACATCCGTTATGATTCATTAAACATGCTTTTTTGCTGTTTTATGTAGGACTCTGATAACAGCATTGGAGAGCTCAGTGAAGGCCAAAGACCTAGACTGACAAGAGCAGCAGAAAGTATCTTAATGGGGCATTCAGTTTATATAGACCAGCCTGCTGGCCTAGACCAGCCTGCTGAACAGCGTCCCCACAGTGTGCCATCCCCAGGACAGTGTGAGAGGACTGCAGGTATAAACCACAATCGTCTTTGCTCCAGGGTGTCTACTTAAGACTATGAGATTACAAATGTTTTGAATGCTGCTGTAGACAGTTTGAGTGTTCAGAACCCACTCACTAAACAACTAGTTGAATGAAGGACCTCATATATTTTTTCTAATCAGTGTTGAAGACTGCTGCCTTCCACATGTTAGAGTATCTGCAGTATTGTCCATGGATGCAACTGCAGCCCAGGTAGACACACTTGAGATTTGTTTTAAATCACCAAACACAGATACTGATAACAGTGGAGTTGCAATGACAGATGCCTCAGCTTCCAAATAATTACCTAGACCACTGGGCAGGTGAGAACGTGCTTCCAGTTTCCATATCCATGTAACCTGAACACTTCTGCTGAGGCTGCCAGAAAAGAGGCAACTGTTGCTTTTTATGACAGAGAGTTTGTATTGTGGACATCTCTCCAGCAGGAAATAGACTGATGCTGCTAACTTGGTTTAACAGCTAGCAGGTTATAAGAGGTTTCAGTCACTACTGACTTGGACCAGATTTGATTTGGTAATCTCTAGGCAGATCCTCTAAGATATTTATCCTCTATAAAAGCCTCTCATTTACTTAAGTTAGACAAGAGTTAGCTTTCACAAAATGATGTTTGTGTTATTAGGGCAAATTAGTCCCACCGTCTTTCTGTAATGGTGGCCAGTACCAGAGATGTGGTGCAAGAAAGTGTGTGATGAACTATGGTGGGAAAAGATGCCTTGGGGGGAAAGTTTGTGCTTTACTCAGACAGTGGTGAGACCTGGATGCCTGAGTGGTTCTCAGCCTGTCAGCATTTCCATTAAATCTGTTTTCCACGGTTCCATTAGCTTTAAGCTGAGCTGTGATTTGACGTCTGCAATCTTAGTCCAAGAGTAATGTTTCAAGCTAATTAGATTTAAAATTAGTTTTAGTCTTTTTGAGACAACTGAGGTCTAAAGTATAGTTACAGCTCATGGACTAATTTTTGTAAAGCTGTTCTCTGCTCTTACAGGCTGCACAACTATGATGGATTTTATAGGAAGTAGCTATTTAAGTAACGTATCCAGATTTTGGTTCATTCACTCAGTGGAATGACAGAGTTTCATAAAGAAGCTTTTCCATTCTGTTTTTAGTGTGAGGAATAAAGCCCAATTGAGTACATAATGGCATGGTACACCATAACAGCTCTGAAGGTGTACCATGTTAGAAATGCACAGATTTCTGTTGTTTCACAGACATTTTTCCTTTCTTCCTTTTAACAAGGAAAATTGAAAAGACCTTAACATATATGGGCAGATAAAGAACATTCTCTTCATTCTGGCCTGTTCTGTCATTGAACCTACAAGGCTTCTTACCCTTTTCAAAAAACATGACATAATTGGGATTCTCTTGGTCCAGTTTGACTCTGGATTTTTCTTTCCCATTTTTTTTCTCTTAGCAGATGCTTGTCATGGTACAATGACCATGGCTGAATTGGTGTTGCAGCCATTTTCAAACCCGGTTCCTCAAATGACACAAGCCGGTGATGGGAACGTGTATCTATCAGAGGATACTTCTCAGGTAAAGCCTGAATAGCTTTTGCATGTTGCTTGTAAATAGTTAGGAAATGCGAACTGAAATTGAATTGTATTCAGATTTTAAGTTAAGTCGTGATAGCTGATGTCAGAGAGGAAAGATGCTGGTTACTTCGTCTTGACCACTCTGCAATGGTGTGTGCCATTCTGGGATACTGATCTACCATATTTGTCACTGAAGAATGATCACTTTTCCTGTCCTATTTGACTTCCTCTCACAGCTAGCTTCTGCACCTAGGCCCAATATCCTGGATACAGCAACCAGTTGTTTAGCTGCAGTGTCTGGGCATATTTTTACAAAGCAGGAATCTTTTGAGCAGACAGTCATATAAGACTGAACAGCAGAGGATTGTTATCTGAGCAGCTTAGCACCAACCCTTGCTCTTGACAGCATTGATGTCTGAATACCTGCTTTCTGTCAAATAATCAGGGTCACAAGAGTATATCTGGCACTGATTTCTACTAGTCGTGCTTCTGTCCAAGGCACCACAGATATGTATTTAATGGTGGTAGAGTTTCTAAAAGGTATCATCCTTATCTTCCATCAGGGGAAGAACTGTTATCATCCTAAGCTGTCTAGTTTGGGCAGATTGATGGTTTCCCCATTAGAGCATGTGATTATCTGCTTTACCACTTGTCCATGCAAATAGCCTTTTTTGATAGCTCTCAGCTAAAACAGCAGGGAAGATTCAGGCCTTCATGGTGGGCCCCAATACCTGAACTGTTATAAAGACAAATTTTTCCAGGGGATATCGAGGGGTCAAAAAAAATCCTCTACGCTGCTCCCTTGCAGTGTGAAGAACAACTGACCATGCAGTATGTGGCATCGCAGACATGTCTGCCACACACATCTGGACATGGCCAAAAGGGGCAGAGGAGGGGAAACAGGGGCTAAAGAGTAGATAAATATATACTTTTAAAACTCAGTGCCAGCTGAGTGAATGTCCTGCTCAGTGTGTTTTGTACTGGTCTGATCTGTGCTAACTCTCTTGAAGTACAAAGTGCGCTTTCATGTTTTTGGGGGGTTATTTGCCCACTGGTTTTGTAATATTTTTGCATAGTTGGAATATTTATATATAATTAACATATTTTGCATGTGATTGCTCTTCCTTTCCTTGGCACTTTGATAGTCTCATTATCATTTTTTATTGTTTTGCTTCATTTTTATGCACTTTGAAATAGCCTTTTTTTTTCTGTAACCTTCCTGCTGCACACAATTGTATTTTATGAGGTGCATTTCCTACCTTTTGTTCATGAGTTGAATAGTCTTCTTTTTCTTTTCAGTAAGGATAATAAATTAAACCGACACATTTCAATAGAACAATAGCATTGAAAATGAAAATGTTGCAATTTGGCGCCCTTTCAGTTAATGATATCCACTCAAAGCACCTTTATTTGACTTGTTTTTTTCATTATGCTGGAACTTCCTGCCCAAAGAAAATTGTTTCGTGTGTTTGTTATATTAATCAGCTTTAAACTGGATTGAAAATGCAGGTCTCCAGGAAAGGGCAGTGACCAGAAGACTTGCTCTTTCTGACTTTTCTGGTTTACTAGCTTAGATGATCATTCTTGGGTAGATGCATGGCCAGTAGTATCCTTGCTGATGAGTTCCCCATAGTCACAGGTTTGGCTGCAGAAAGTAGAAGCCCAAAATGCTTAGTAAGATCCAGGCCTGATTTTTCTTAATTTATTTATTATTTATATGATTTATATGCCATCCTTCCCAACGGGGATCAGGGCACCTGACAAGAAGAAAAACGGAGCACCTTAAAAGGGCAACTGAAATAAAATAAAACAGAGATCCCCCTAAGCAACATTTCAGCCTTGCTTTGGTTGCTAAATGCCTGCTCAAATAGAAAGATCTTGCAGCACTTCAGAAAGATGTTCAGGCTCCGGCTCTAGCAGGCCTGGAGATGGATGCAGTTCCAGAGCTGAGGAGCAAGTGCTGAAAACAATCTCCCATGTGTTTTTTTTGCCAAGTGGACTTGGCAGCTGGTGGGACTTGTAGGAGATTTCTCTTAGCTGACCTTAGGGATCGCAGTCAGGTGTAAGGGAGAAGGCAGTCCCTTAAGATATATCACACCAGGGCCTTTGGTGCTCAACTTTTTGGCCCTGCAAGGCAGGTGAGTGTTGTGGGCCTGGTCCACAGGCAGGATCAGGCCAGATCCACTGTGGGATTAGCACTAGGGATTAGCACTTGTGTTGTGGCCAGGCCCTATGTACCAGATCTGGCCACAGAGTGACCCCACACGCTGATGTGATCTGGTGCATGGATCTGGGTCATCTGGTGCTCTTAGCCACCTCCACCACCACGTGAAGATCCAGGCACAACAGTGGATCCAGGAGCACCCCCGAGCCTGGGAAGCAGGTGCTTTTTTCTGTGCCTCTGAAAGCATTTTCTCTCCTGCCCACTGTAACTCCCCCTGCCCAGTACAACCTTGATAGGTGCAGTTGCCACCCAGCTGGTTGCCTTCCAAAGTTTGCTGCCTTCCTCTAATGCAGGGGTGGGCAATTATTTTGGGCAGAGGGCTGCTTAACTGAGCTTTGGCAAGTCATCGCGGGCCACATGACAGGCAGCCATGGGCAGATAAATATAAATTTTCTACATTTTTAGGGGCCTCGCGGGCATCCAGCCCATGAGCCGCATTTTCCCCACCCCTGCTATTACATGACAGATTCTACCAGGTTCCTGGGGTTGATGGACCATATTAAGCTGTAGACTCCCCATGGGAGTGGGGGTTTGGAGAGGATGCCCCAACCTTGACATCTGTGGACACTGATCAGGCAGGAACACAAGCTGAGATAAATTAAATTACATTTCTTCTGTTCCCCTCTCCTGTCTCTCACCCAGGGGAGTCCCTTTCCCCGCTCCACTCGTGTCCCCCCAGCTCAAGCCAGGCCCTCCTTCTCTCACCATGGGTGACTCTGCCTGTCTCCCTGCCTTCTCTCCTCCTGATTTTCTGTTCATCTTTATTTTATCCATCCATTCTGCCTGTGTGTAATTGCAGAGATTCTTTCTTGCAGTTTTAGTCCTGCTTGCCTTTCTTCTTAACCTTTTGGGGGACCAAGACATCTGTTCAGCTTTGATGCCTTGTCTTCTAAGCCTGAGTTGCAGAGGTTGCACAGCTGTCCCCAGATCCATATGGCAGGATTCTGTGGTTTTCTTGTAAAAAGTCGCATTGCAGTAGTAGCCCCAGCGAGAATCAGACAAATTGTGCTTTGGTGCTGTCCAAAGACATAGTTCATACAGCATTAGCAGGAAGTCTCGGATTCCAGGCAAATGCTTTTATTCACCTGCTAGAGCAATAATGTAATAGGTGAAAGTGGATTCAGTTGCTAACCCTGTCATCTGCTTTCCTCTGCCCATCTGCATTGTTTGGATGACACCGTGCTAAAGATCTTACCCCAAAGAACTTGCAGTAGAAGACAACAAGCGATGCACAAAATGTATAGGAAGAGTGATACAACTTTTAAAATATACTTTATGGTTTTTTGGTCACGATTGAAGGCATCTGTCTCTATATGTCCTTCAGCCTAGCTATTAACTAACTGATTAGTTACAGTGGCAGAGATGGTTTTTGAGAATAGGAAGACCACGTCAGGAAAGAAACTTCCCAATTATTAGATTTCCCTCCAAGACCCTTCAGTTTCTCTACATGGGAGGAAGTGGAAGTCCACATTGCAAAAACAAGAGACAAATTGTTTCTGCCACCTCCTTTCATTAGGAATTGTAGGGTTCTCTATATTTAGATTTAAATGGGTGACTGCTCGTCTCTGTTGATTACATGGGATTCACATCTTAGAGAACAGCTTGCCATGCTTTTTGTTAGAGAAAATAAATGGTTGCAAAAAAGCTAATTTACAGTTGAACGGTTTGTAAAGTTGAACTGAAGGAGACATAATGTCTTTAGCAATTCATAATGGCAAGTAAATCAATTTGTGTGAAACTGCCCTTGTTTTATTTGAATTTAAAAATAAAAATCAGAAATGTAATGTGGTTTTAATAACTTGTATGCAGAAACAGAGCCAAGAGGCTGTACACATGGAGCCAGTCCGATCCAGAGTCATTCGTGTGAGAACTAAATCTGAAGTAGCACAACAGCAAGGTAAATCAGTGTTGCTAAGCATATTAATCTGACTTTAAGGTGCAGGATGTGAAGGCTGCTACTTCAGTCTTTTGCTCCTTACTTTGAAGTTTTCTAGCTGATATTTTTTAAGACTGCTGTAATAAAGACAGAATATGCAGAGGTCACATGTAATTGTGTCTATCGCTAGGTATAAAGTTCTGATTGGTGAGTGAGGCTGCTGTTTTTGGAGTTGCGTACTTCTGTTGATAAGCAATCTGAATCATTGGGGTGACCAGAATCGCCATTAGTTTTCCTCTGTTTAATTTTTCTGTTTGTTCTGTGTAAATGACCTAATTTAGCCAATCACCATTTAGTTAACTATTTCTTTCATGGTCCTACCCTCTGGCAAACAGATGCTCATATGATGGTGCTAGAAGGTAATGGATTGTGTGTCTGGGCAAATGCAGTTGCCCCAAGAGGGGAAATGGAGTGAAAGATTAAACACAGTTAAGGTCTGAAAAGCATAAAGAGAGAAGTACCAGTGATGCTTGTTCTGTGATGGACTGCCAGTTAGTATGCAGTAAAGAGCCATCTTCTCTAAATGTGAAGCACTGCATCTATTAGATAGATAAGGAGTGTTGAAAGAATGTAATTATATTATCACCATGTAGAGTATTGCATACCATGGATCAAGTTTAGCGTATGACTAACAGGAGCCTGGAACATTATCACCACACGTTAGTACCGGAGCAAATGATTTTAATACATGTTAGAATTGGATTGGATACGAATTAAGTGCAGAAAGGTGGTTTTAAAGATTCACAGTTAAACTTGGCATTCTTGCATTTTTGTGTTTTACTTTCTGGTAACAGTATTAACCTAGATATGAAGATGTTTTAATATATGATTGTGTGTGTTGTGTATAATTCTCATTTGATTGTATACACCTATATAATAATAGGAATTTAAAATACCATGGACATGCTAAAAGTACATGTTAATATTTCTGTAGATACCTTAATTTTCACAGTCCCCATTTTAACTACTTAAATGAAATTATAAGCACCTGGTGAACATAATTTTGATTTAATTATTTAAAATATTACAAAATGTAAGCTGTTCTCCTCAATAACTTATTTACACGTTTGAAGTTAGGTATGCAAGTCATCCTCCTTGAAGAGCGCTGTCTAATGACAGTCACAGAAGCTGAGGACTAAATTCACAACTGCGTTTAGAAAAAAAAAGTGAAATTGTGTAGTTCAAAAATTTGTCCACTGTGCCTATTTTGTAGCAGAGCTCATTACATACTGAGTGGTCACACTTAGGATACCCCAGCCCAAAGTGCTGATATTGTGAGTGACATACAAGCATTGAAAATAGATGGGGCTCGTCTGGCAGGTGTACGGATGGCAAAGAACCATGTCCGCCTGTTCTCTCTTTGACCTGGGGAGTGGGAGAACAGAGCGGTAGGCATTTTCCTCCTTCCCTTCCTTCACATTAACCCTTCAGAGAGGGAGCAGAAGGAGAGACATCTTCCAACCTACATGCTGTCGCAAGTGTCCTTTTGTACTTCAGCTTCTCAAAATATTTACAAGAGAACAGTCTTGCTTCTGCCTTCACATTCAAGGCTGGAAACAGGAAATAAAGTTAAAAGGAGAATCCTGCTCTTTCTTCCATCTTTTTTTGTGGAATATTTTCCTTAAAAAAATACATTTGGGCAAAATCTAAGGTCTACCAACACACACTGTGAGTATATCTTTGTTTTTATATACGTATATGTATGCTTGACCACAAGGTGGCAGCAGAAAGATTTCTTTGGGAGGGGGAAGAAAGGTAAGTAATCTATCCATCTAATCTTACATATTATTTAAAGTGTACCTATTTATTAATCTAATACAAATCCAAAAGGTGGGGGGTTACAGTCTTCAACAACTATGTTGTTTGAACCAGAACCTTTTGCCTTGATAAATTTTACAGTACTGAACTATCTTACTCAATGGAGAAGTTCAGGACAGAGGGAAAAAATTGGCCCAAATTTTTGGAAACGGAAATGAAGACTTAGAAAGATATAAACAAATCTGGGTGTAAATAAACACAGCATTTGAAACCGTGCACGGCTGTTATTTTATAGTTGATTACATACAACTTATTAAACCTCAGCGTTCAATAAATTGTCTTTGCCAACAAAAGGATGGTCAGTGGGTATTTGCCTAAAAATGTAGGGGAATTTTGGCGGGACAGTTATTCAGATATTTTTACATACCTTAGAAAGAGAGATCGGGAAACCCAGTCTGGCAGTGTAGGGTTGATGATAATAGGAAAGATGAGATACTATTTTAGGCTCAGAACTGTATACTAAAAGCCTTTTGTTTTTTATTTAATTGATCAATAAAAAAGACATTTGATTCTCTCATTGAGTTGTATTATAATAAATATATTTCTAACAAAGCCCTCTTTTTTTTATAAGCCTTGAGCAGTCTACATGGAATATATTTTTAGCAAGAGAGAAGTGATAGAGTATACCTAATGGAAAATCAGTGGAGCCTAGTACAAAACTACAGAATTATGTCTGCAAGGATAATGTCTCTTGAAAGTTACAGCTGAAAATAAAGCTTTCATGTATCATTAATTGAAATATGTGTGTTCTCTAGACATTATGGAGACGCTGGTTGAAAGTATGTATATTTATAACATGTATAACATGCACACACATATATTTTGGCTTCATAGTATCCTTTAATCTTTCTACCATTACTCATGGATGTCCTCCCATAAATTAAAGCTGTTAATAATTGTTGTGGCTTGTGATTATAAATATTTCTAGGACACTCACATTTTTCAAGCTTCCTTTAATAGGATTCTGAATTCTTCAGGTGAATTAAAATCCAGAAACAGGTGGCATGCTTCAGAGTAGGTTATTTTATTTGTATCCCTCATAGCCGGAAAAACAGCTTTAGATGCATCAGCATTTTAAACATTTTTTCTGAAGTTGAGGTTCTCAGAATGCAGCCCACTTACTTGCTGGTGGCCTATGGAGGACTTCATTTGGCAGTGACTTTTTGGGTGCCTATACACAAGCAGCAAGGCTGCTCCGATGCGCTGTAATTACAGGTCGGAGCAGACTTGATTAATTGGGTCTGCTGGTGCATGGTAATTACCGTGTTCCAGCAGGCTCCAGCGTCTCGTGCATGCGTGATGAGCTTTAGATAAAGTGCCCCCACCACCATTTTGAAGTGTGGGGCCGCTAATACACAAGACGCTCCAGGTGCTTTAATTAGAATGGCTCCAAGAGTCACCCCCACCTTCCCGGAGCATGCCCCCCTCTCACCCCTCCACTCCTGGAGCATGTGTATATTAATGCCCCTTTCTAGCTACTAGACTATTCAGGCAGGTAAAAATGCAGGGGGAATTAATATTAGGAACATAATCAGTTGTCTTGATTGCCCCTGGGATATTGCACAGTTGCAGAGTTGTGATCTGTGCAGTCGTGAATGGGAGGAGAAAGGCTTCTTGAATGAGCGTGCGAAGAATTTGCAGAACCCCATTCTAGTCTGAGGATGGGATCTCCCTGCCCTCGTGTTCGAATGGCATTCAATTGAAAACTAAATTAATATAGTTTAATTCCACTGCATTCTTTGCTGTCATCTCTTCGTTAGCCAGAAATTACTCAGAGTTGCTACTTTTTCCAAGAACAGTTAGTGTGTGTGGCAAATCTCAAACAGATGCTTCAATAGGAAGGAAGAAGATTAGGATAGAGGCTAGAGGTCTTCCTTTTTATTTTTTTTCTCTTAGAACCAGAGTTGCTTTGGTCAAACTCTGCACAAGTATTTCACTGGAAGTTTACTTTTTCTTTTACTCCCCTGCTGGCTCTCTTTCAGACGGGATTTCACTAAAGACTCTTTGCAGCCACTCTATAATATAGTAGCCGGTGAAGCAGAGCCAGGGTCACTTTTTCACAAGGAATCCTTCTATTTTGGCCTCAGCACCCAGTCAATCAAAATAATTTCAATAATCTTCAGTTCCTCCTTTCCTGGTGGCTGTTTTCTGAAGAGAAACATTGAAAGTTGAAGCCATGAAGCTGACTGGCTGTAGTCATGGCAGTTTATAGGCAAATATGTTTCCAGTCCAATCTTACAGAAATCCTTCTTGTTCCACGAGACCCCGATGATTCATGCTCTGTTCTGTTCTCTTCAGGTTCTTACGTTGCTCCCATGATGCCAAAAGGCTTTTTGACAATATTCACTTAATATTTCTCTGACTGGTGACCTCTTTCACTGATCACATATTAGGTGCAGACTTTAAGTGCATATAGTCAGGAAATGCAAAGCTGTTTCCCACAGTAACTCAAACTCCATTCATAAGAAGTCATTAGCAAGGATCCGGGTTTTCCATTTCCCATGGGAAAATGGAGAAAAACGTGGATTTCCCCCTTTACAGGAGGAAAATGCAGATTTCTCATTTTAACGAAGAAATCCACAGGTTTTTGCACTTTTGCAAAGAGCTCTCTGCAGGGTGGCACATTTCTAGCCTGCAATGGGCTGGGGGGAACAGGAAGAGGGCAGTCAGGTAGGGGACATCATGCACATGGCAGCCAGACAGCCTGGAGAGCAGCTCTTGCAGGTTAAGTTGTGGGGGGAAAGGACAGGGGATTGAGGCCCCCTTGGGGAGGGAGTTGGGCAGGGCTTGGGTTGGGGCTGGGGTTGCTGCCCAGCCGGGCAGTGCATGGGGCTTGGGGCCCAGGTCTGGAATATGTGGCCACAGGGCCCCGGTGGCGAGTGGGATGGGGCCACATCTGGCTCCTCCAAGGGGCAGGGGGGCAGCTCCTCATTGCTGTGTGCACTCCCAGGGGGCAGGAGGGACCCATGCCCTCCAGATCTGTGCTTGGGGCGGGTGTGGGCTGCCCGCTGTGTGCTTGGGCTCCTGCCCTTCTGCCCTCCCCTGTGGCCTCCACAGCCCAGCAGGTGTGACCTGGCACAGCAGAGCAGAGCAGGGTTGCTGGGGGAAGCTCCTTGCCGCTGTGAGTTCTGCGCTGCCCTGGC